ACACACACACACACACACACACACACACTAGAGGACGGTGTGTTCAGGAACTGTGATGATGTCCTGCAGTGATGTCATGTCACTCAGTGTGTGATGTGTTCAATGTCACAGGTGAACTACACTCAGCCACTGGTGGCCGTGAAGTTCCTGAACGCCTCTCTGAACACAGACATCAACATCGAGTGTAAGATTCACTCCAACACTCTGGCCGACGGCAGCGACAGGGACAAGTTCGCTGGACGGGTGTCCTTCAAACTACGAATCAACGACAAATAGACACACACACACTCATACGCTGGTTAAAGCTGCACATGTCAACATGTTTCAGCTGTCACACACACACACACACACACACACACACACACACACACACACACACTCTGTCCGTTAGAGCCTCGAACACACCTGTACCTGTCCTCAGTCATGATGTGTTTACTGACCTTTAGTTCCCATCTGATTGTTTCCTGTACCCATCCTGTTGCTTCAGTGCAGCTTTAACTGACCCCAAACCCACCAATCAGCACTCACACACGCTGTGATGTCACTGAGGACAGACTGACCCACAGGAGGCTCTTCACCTCCTTCATCATCATCATCATCATCATCGTCACTCTGCATGAACACCAAATTACTGATCACACAGCTGACGTGTTTACTGTTTATTTATTTATGTCTCCAGTTATTTATTACCTGTTTGTTTGTTTATTTATTTATTTGTTGACATATTTATTTATTTATTTATTTATGGTGATGTTTTGTTTTTTTACAACTTTAAACTCATCACAGAGAGCGCCATTAATACTGGACTATCAGGTAAGAAAGGCTCTGATTGGCTGTTTACAGTACACACACGTCACAAACCAGTTCAACAGAAACCAGTTTAACAGGAACCAGTTTAGCAAAACCAGTTTAACATCAGAAACCAGTTTAACAGGAACCATTTTAATAAAACCAGTTTAACTAAACCAGTTTAACATCAGAAACCAGTTTAACATCAGAAACCATTTTAACAAAACCAGTTTAACATCAGAAACCAGTTGAACAAAACCAGTTTAACATCAGAAACCAGTTGAACAAAACCAGTTTAACATCAGAAACCAGTTTAACATTAGAAACCAGTTAAACAAAACCAGTTTAACATCAGAAACCAGTTGAACAAAACCAATTTAACACCAGGAACCAGTTAAACAGGAACCAGTTTAACATCAGAAACCAGTTTAACAGAAACCAGTTCGGTAATTGGTCTCGTCGTGTGTTGCCATGGAAGCAGCTGAATCCACAGCCAGTCGGATGCTCGCTGTAGTAGCCATGGTAGCAGTGTTGGTGTGTGATGTCATATCTTTGTCTGGTTAGTTAATTAGTAATTAGTGATGTCATGACTTCATGTGGTCATCCAGTTAGGAAGTGGTTCAGTGTTTGTTTGTTGTTTTTGTTGATTTGTTTATGTGTGATTTTGTTTACTATCGTCACCATGGGGCTGAGCATGACAACCGTTACCATGACAACCAGACCAGGTGACACACAGTCTCTTTACCTGTCCTTCACCCCCCATACACACACCTGAACTGCTCTCCAACAATCGTCTTCCTTTAAAGAATGACCAGCCAATCAGATGGTCCTGCTGTATGATGTCAATGATACTTGTTTGTGGTTGGTTGATTTCTCCCGTCTGAAAATTTCCTTATGTTTCACAGACATAGAAAAAATTAAGAAATTAAACAAAAAAAAAATTACAAAAAAAGAACATGTCTGTGTGATTTATGTACTACAAACTGTAATACCTCCTTTTTTAGGACTACAAACTGTAACACTTCCTTTTTTAGGACTACAAACTGTAATATTTCCTGGTTTTAGGATTACAAACTGTAACACTTCCTTTTTTAGGACTACAAACAGTAATACTTGCTGGTTTTAGGACTACAAACTAATACATCCTGGTTTTAGGACTACAAACTAACACTTCCTGGTTTTAGGACTACAAACTGTAATACTTCCTGGTTTTAGGACTACAGACTGTAACACTTACTGGTTTTAGGACTGCAAACTGTAACACTTCCTGGTTTTAGGACTACAAACTGTAATACTTCCTGGTTTTAGGACTACAAACTAACACTTTCTGGTTTTAGGACTACAAACTATCACACTCCCTTTTTTTAGGACTACAAACGGTAACACTTCCTGGTTTTAGGACTACAAATTAACACTTCTTGGTTTTAGGACTACAAACTAACACATCCTAGTTTAATGGTGCGTTCGTTTTGTACTCGGAGGTCGGAAATCCCCAGTTCCCAGTCGGAAGTTTAAACTCGAACACACCCTGT